TGTTAACGACCCTGGACTCCCACATGGCCAGTCATGGTTCCCACATGGACCTGGTGGCTTCCTTTCTCACTTTCCCTCTCTTTCTCTCTCTTACTCTCTCTCTGGTCAAATTAAACTAAATAAATAAATAAAGTTAAATTTAAAATATAATTTAAAAACAAAGAGTATGGGTTAAAGAGTATGAGTTAAATAGATATATCCAATTGTCAAAATGTAAATGTTGTTTGCACATTTTAATAAATTTAAATTTTATCTCAAAAACAAAGAACTGTAAGAAATCATTAAACAGACTTCAGAATATACAAAAGTGTAAGTAAAACAGAGACCAGCAGGTGGCGTAGTGGTTATGTCGCTGGACTCCCACATGGCTGATTGTGGTTTGAGTCTCGGACCTAAAGGCTTGAAATTCATGTAGGGTGTGTGTGCGCATGTGGTCAGAACCCCAGGAGGAAAACAGAGAAGGGACTGCAGCATGGTCATCCTCCCTGAGGTGTGATTTCTCATCTTCTGTCTCTCCAGCGAGCACACATACTCTATAGCAAAAATCTCTCTCTAAAAAAATGGATAAATAAAATAGGATAAATAAATAGAGATATTGATAATTATTAACACTAGATGACAGGTACAAGGGTGTTCATGATCCTACTCTGTTTACTTTATATAGTTGAAATTTTTAATAAAAAATTAAAAATTTAAGTAAAGGGGGGGCTGACAGGTTGTGTGGTGGTTAAGGGCACTTGACTCCCACATGGCTGACTATGGTTTGAGTCCCAGACCTGGCAGCTTGCTTCCTCACTTTCCACCTCTCTCTCTGTCCCATTCTGGTCAAATTAAAATAAAGTTAAATAAAATGATTATTTTTAAAAATTTAAATAGAAGGTAGAACCAGGGTATGAACTCAAAACAGATATCAGAACCAAGATTGCTAACCATTATCCTCTTCCTCCTCAGTTTTATGGAGAATAGTTTAATTGAAAATAATTGTGAAAATAATTATTCCATTCAAATAAATGTAGCTATGAAACTTAGCAGAATACAAACTTCTAATGCATTTTAAAAGGAGAGAGAGAGAATGAGAGAGACTTTAGAAAAATAGCATCTAAATGCAAATTATTGGCTTTGTTTGGATGTCTCTAACAAACTAACTGTAACAATCTTTATGAGATAATTAGCAAAATGTAATAATCCACTGAGTATTAGATAATAGTAAGAAACGATTTGTTTTTACACGTGTGATAATATTTTTATAAGGAGTCCTTATCATTTGTAGGTACACATTGAATGGAGTAGAGATGAAATGATATAATGTCTAAGATTTGCTTCTTTTTTAAAAAAGATTTATTGAATTTTACTTGTTATTTAATAAGTGAGAAAGCAAGCCACCAGGTCCAGGACTTGAACGGTAATCGTCCAACGCCTCAACCACCAAGCCATCTGCTAGCCCCAGATTTGCATCTAATATAACTGGGAGAGGGTAGAAATATAAAATAAACATGACTGTAATGTGATTATGACTCAAGTCAGATGAAAAATACACTAGGATTTATTATATGATCTTCCCTGCTTTGGTACATTGCTTTTGTCCATTGTAAAGACAAAAAAAAAAAAAATTTTTTCTGACATCTTTCTTGATTATCTGACAAATGTGGCCTTACAATGAAATTTAATCCTTCACATGGATATGATAATTTCTATTCTGGGTAACTTAAAGCCAAGGTTCTTTTTTTTCTTGTTAGATTTTTGCCGTAGGGCATATGCACTGGCTAGAAAGTGAGTAAGAAATCATCCCCTATTGGGGTTGACCACGCTGTATTCCCTCCTCCTCCATTCTTCTGAGATTCTGGGCACACATGCACACACACCTGGTGTGATTTTTCAAGCCGCCAAGTCTGAGACTCAAACCGCAGCTGGCCACGTGGATATCCAGTGCTTTAACCATCATGCCACCTGCTGGCCCCATCAAGGTTCTATCTTTAATCCTCTTTCCCAGTACTCGCATACTCACAGAACACACACTGAACTTAAAACTACTCATAGCACACACACAGAACTTAGAACTGTACTGTGCAATATTAATATATCCACTTTTCTCACACTTCTAATTTCTTTCACTATGCTAAACTTGTTTAATTTCCAGGCAAATGTATATCGCTGTTTTAAAAGGAGACAAACATGGACTAGTACAGTATTAGCTGAATCCTCTCACTAGTGAACAGTTCAACAGGAATCACTTACAGCCCCAAGGTACAAACCTGAAATGGGCAGTGAGCTCCATGTGGGAACGCAGTGTCTGATAGCAGGCCACACACTTAACTTGAAATGGAACATCTTTACACAGAGAGATCAAAAGTTTCTTTGCAAAAGATGGAAATGATATTGGATGTGCTATTCCCTTATCATCTGGAAGATAAAATAAACTGTAATTTGCAAAGTCATTTAAATACAGAGTAACCCAATCTTCCCCCTCCTTGCTTCTCTCAACATCTTTTAAAGTGCAAGTAGATATGTCATGTAATAAATATCTAAAGGAAGCCACTTGCTAGCTTAAATATGAAGACTATCTTACACTCCAACTAAAATTTGAGTTTCAAATTTAAAGAAATACCCAACTTCCCAGATATCACAGATATAAAACATTATCCTGAATAAATGCTTCTTCTCACATCCTCTTCACACCTCAAAATAAATAAATAAACCTTACTCATAAGTACAAATAAATACTGGGCATTAAAAAAAATACAGATAAAATCTTTTTGTTCTCATGATTCTAAAACTACTATTAGGATAATATTAAACTCAAGAATATTCTGAAAAGTATGGTAAATCACCAAAAATTAAAATAAAGCAGTTTAATAATTTTGAGCAGAATAAAGTATTAACATACCACCCAGTTTAAAATTTGGATGGAAATGATTCTTTCCAGACATATGCTTCAAGCACTCGTCCTTGCTGTTAAAAAGGAGAAAGCAACTGGGACATGCAAAACACTGAATAACCTGAGGAAGAAGGTTGTTGCTATGTCCATCGTCTGTGGCTTCCTAAAATATAAAGCAAAGCTGGATTATATACAGCTCAAGTCAATTTATATATTTTCCCAATACTTACTTATTTGGAATGCTTGGTATCATTTTTTTTTTTTTTTAAAGATTTTGTAATTGGGCACATGCACTCACTGGAGAAAGAGAAACGAAAAGCGAGAAATCATCCCCCAAGGGGACAGTTACACTGCAAACCCTTCTCCTCCTCCTCCACTCAGGATTTTGGGTATACACAGACATGCAACTGGCATGAGTTTCCAGTCACCGGGTCTGGGACTCAAATTGCGATTGACCCTATGGGAATCCAGTGCCTTAACCACTATGCCATACCTGCTGGCCCCTTCTCTATCAATTAAAAAAAAATTTTTTTTAAAGAATTATTTGTTTTTAATTTGGCCAAAGAGAGACAGAGAAAGTGAGAAAGCAAGCCACCAGGTCTGGAACTCAAACCATAATCAACCATGAGGGAGTCCAATATGTTAACAGTGCCACTTGCTGGCCCCTTCTGCATAAATTTTTAATATGAAAACTTATCTTCCCAGAGAGTGAATTATGAACCATACCTTTTATCAAAAGTGAGCTCCCATATGTAAAATTTTTTTATTTTTTTTCCTCAGAAATAAATTATGGCCATCTATGAAAATAAATACACAAGTACAAATTGCTTTCCATTTATCTTCCATTTTTCACAAACACACTCATCTGTATTATTACATAAAAGCAAGGACATCACATATGGTTTGCTTTGTTCATTCTACCCTGCAATATTAGAGGATTTCAAATGGTTCACGGGAAAAAACTAGAATTAAAGTAGGAGTTTTCTGTGTTGACAAAAAAAATTGAAATCCGTACATAGTTTTTTTTTTTTTTTTTACCATATGAATTTTTCATGAACTTTATGAGGATTCCTGGTATAATTGATATTTACCAATACCAATACATTATTCTTTATTTTCTTTATGCTGGAACGGTAATCGTCCAACGCCTCAACCACCAAGCCATCTGCTAGCCCCAGATTTGCATCTAATATAACTGGGAGAGGGTAGAAATATAAAATAAACATGACTGTAATGTGATTATGACTCAAGTCAGATGAAAAATACACTAGGATTTATTATATGATCTTCCCTGCTTTGGTACATTGCTTTTGTCCATTGTAAAGACAAAAAAAAAAAAAATTTTTTCTGACATCTTTCTTGATTATCTGACAAATGTGGCCTTACAATGAAATTTAATCCTTCACATGGATATGATAATTTCTATTCTGGGTAACTTAAAGCCAAGGTTCTTTTTTTTCTTGTTAGATTTTTGCCGTAGGGCATATGCACTGGCTAGAAAGTGAGTAAGAAATCATCCCCTATTGGGGTTGACCACGCTGTATTCCCTCCTCCTCCATTCTTCTGAGATTCTGGGCACACATGCACACACACCTGGTGTGATTTTTCAAGCCGCCAAGTCTGAGACTCAAACCGCAGCTGGCCACGTGGATATCCAGTGCTTTAACCATCATGCCACCTGCTGGCCCCATCAAGGTTCTATCTTTAATCCTCTTTCCCAGTACTCGCATACTCACAGAACACACACTGAACTTAAAACTACTCATAGCACACACACAGAACTTAGAACTGTACTGTGCAATATTAATATATCCACTTTTCTCACACTTCTAATTTCTTTCACTATGCTAAACTTGTTTAATTTCCAGGCAAATGTATATCGCTGTTTTAAAAGGAGACAAACATGGACTAGTACAGTATTAGCTGAATCCTCTCACTAGTGAACAGTTCAACAGGAATCACTTACAGCCCCAAGGTACAAACCTGAAATGGGCAGTGAGCTCCATGTGGGAACGCAGTGTCTGATAGCAGGCCACACACTTAACTTGAAATGGAACATCTTTACACAGAGAGATCAAAAGTTTCTTTGCAAAAGATGGAAATGATATTGGATGTGCTATTCCCTTATCATCTGGAAGATAAAATAAACTGTAATTTGCAAAGTCATTTAAATACAGAGTAACCCAATCTTCCCCCTCCTTGCTTCTCTCAACATCTTTTAAAGTGCAAGTAGATATGTCATGTAATAAATATCTAAAGGAAGCCACTTGCTAGCTTAAATATGAAGACTATCTTACACTCCAACTAAAATTTGAGTTTCAAATTTAAAGAAATACCCAACTTCCCAGATATCACAGATATAAAACATTATCCTGAATAAATGCTTCTTCTCACATCCTCTTCACACCTCAAAATAAATAAATAAACCTTACTCATAAGTACAAATAAATACTGGGCATTAAAAAAAATACAGATAAAATCTTTTTGTTCTCATGATTCTAAAACTACTATTAGGATAATATTAAACTCAAGAATATTCTGAAAAGTATGGTAAATCACCAAAAATTAAAATAAAGCAGTTTAATAATTTTGAGCAGAATAAAGTATTAACATACCACCCAGTTTAAAATTTGGATGGAAATGATTCTTTCCAGACATATGCTTCAAGCACTCGTCCTTGCTGTTAAAAAGGAGAAAGCAACTGGGACATGCAAAACACTGAATAACCTGAGGAAGAAGGTTGTTGCTATGTCCATCGTCTGTGGCTTCCTAAAATATAAAGCAAAGCTGGATTATATACAGCTCAAGTCAATTTATATATTTTCCCAATACTTACTTATTTGGAATGCTTGGTATCATTTTTTTTTTTTTTTAAAGATTTTGTAATTGGGCACATGCACTCACTGGAGAAAGAGAAACGAAAAGCGAGAAATCATCCCCCAAGGGGACAGTTACACTGCAAACCCTTCTCCTCCTCCTCCACTCAGGATTTTGGGTATACACAGACATGCAACTGGCATGAGTTTCCAGTCACCGGGTCTGGGACTCAAATTGCGATTGACCCTATGGGAATCCAGTGCCTTAACCACTATGCCATACCTGCTGGCCCCTTCTCTATCAATTAAAAAAAAATTTTTTTTAAAGAATTATTTGTTTTTAATTTGGCCAAAGAGAGACAGAGAAAGTGAGAAAGCAAGCCACCAGGTCTGGAACTCAAACCATAATCAACCATGAGGGAGTCCAATATGTTAACAGTGCCACTTGCTGGCCCCTTCTGCATAAATTTTTAATATGAAAACTTATCTTCCCAGAGAGTGAATTATGAACCATACCTTTTATCAAAAGTGAGCTCCCATATGTAAAATTTTTTTATTTTTTTTCCTCAGAAATAAATTATGGCCATCTATGAAAATAAATACACAAGTACAAATTGCTTTCCATTTATCTTCCATTTTTCACAAACACACTCATCTGTATTATTACATAAAAGCAAGGACATCACATATGGTTTGCTTTGTTCATTCTACCCTGCAATATTAGAGGATTTCAAATGGTTCACGGGAAAAAACTAGAATTAAAGTAGGAGTTTTCTGTGTTGACAAAAAAAATTGAAATCCGTACATAGTTTTTTTTTTTTTTTTTACCATATGAATTTTTCATGAACTTTATGAGGATTCCTGGTATAATTGATATTTACCAATACCAATACATTATTCTTTATTTTCTTTATGCTGAACTATTATAAATATATACAGAAGTAAACATAAAAGAAGGAATCTTTCTCTTATCAAATATTATCTTAGAAATTCGTTCTGCCTGTTAAGTTTCCTAATTCTTCTATAACTAAAATCTACTATAACTAAATGGTATCTACTATATCTACATGGTATCTACTATAACTAAAATCCAAAATGGTGTAGTCCTAATTCATGATTCTTTTTCTGAAAAGAATTACTTTATTTCATTCACTCATTTATTCATTTATTTAACCAGAGAAGAGAAGGGGAGAGAGAGAGAGAGAAAGCAAGCCACCAGGTCCAAGACCCAAACCTTGGCAGGCCATGTGGGAGTCTAGTGCCCTTAACCACCCCACCACCTGCCAGCCCCCTAATTCATGCTTCTTCTTTTTTTTTTTTTAAGCGAGAAATCACCCCCCGGGGGGATGGCCATGCTGCAATCCCTTCTCCTCCATTCTCTTCTCGGGATCTTGGGCATGGACACACACGCACCTGGCGTGAGTTTAAGCCTGCGGGTCTGGGACTCGAACTGCGGTCGACTCCATGGGAGTCCAACAACATAGTCATTACGCTAACTGCTGGTCCCATGCTTCTTTAAGGTTGATAACTACTCTGTAGTATGGATCTATTACAATTCAGAATTTTTTTTTTTTCAATTTATGGTAGAGAATAGGTCCATGTAAGAGACTGAGGATGGAAGGGAGAAGAGAGAGGGGAAGGAAAGGAGGGAGAGGGGGCACCCTCAACAGGTCTCATCATACCATAAATCCCTTTCCATAGCTCTGTAGCTCCTCAAGACCTTAGGTATGCATGATTTTATTCATCATTATATTATTTTTTTAATTATTTATTTAATTTTATTCATTCATTCATTTTAATTTGACCAGAGACAGACACAGAAAGGGAGGGAGGGAAAGTGAGAAAGCAAGCCACCAAGTCCAGGACTCAAACCGGGGTCGGCCATGTGGGAGTGTCTAGCGCCTTAACCACCATGCCACTTGCTGGCCTCCATACCCAGTGCTTTCTGGCTAACCTGGGAATCCAAACCTGTGATAAGCCCTGTGGCTTCCAACACTGTGGTTCAGTTCATTACTGATTACACTATCCTAGGGAACCCAACCATCCATTCCTTTTTTTTTTCTTTAAACAGAGATTTTTGCTATAGGTCATGTGCATTCACCAGAGAGACTGAACGTGAGAAATCACCCCATGGGAGGGCTGGCCATACCACAGTCCCTTCTCTTCCATTCTTCTCTTGAGATTCTAGGCACACATGCACACACGCCCGGTATGAGTTTTAAGCCTCCAGGTCCGGGACTCAAACCCTGGTTGACCATGTGGGAGTCCAGTGATGTAACCATTATACCATCTACTGATCCCTCAATCATTCATTTCTAAGGTTTTTTAATTTGGGTTTCCCCCCTTCCTATTATAAACGATGTTGTATATATTCAAGGATATATATATATATATATCCTTATTTGTAGGTACTTTTTTCCCCTCTTTATCAGAAGTGCTCATTTAGGGTTAAAGGATACAAATATTTGAATATTAAAAGATACAATGTGATTACTTTTCAAAAAGACTCTACCAATTCACTATCACTGAATAAGTCTAGCAGGAATAGATAGTAGGTCACCAGAAAAGTCATGACCTGTTTTTCTATGCAAAAATGTGCCATGAATTTCCAGACAACCAAACAGTATGGATCATTTTTGTTTTTGTCTGTCTGGCAGATAAAATACTCATTGTTACTTTAATTTGCATCTCCTTTCTGTGAGCTTGATCACTTATTCATTCATCTGTTGGCTATCTGTGAATTTCTTACTTGTATCCTACCTTTTTCTTCTTTTGTGCTAGAGCACACCATGTGTACTGGCCACAGAGACAGAAAGGGAGAGGAGAAAGCACCGCCCCATTGGGGAATGGTCATACTGCAATCCTTTTTCCTCCATCTCTTCCTCCATTTCGAACTATTAGACACATGTAAACATGCCCTGCATGTTTCTCAAGATGCTATGTCTAGGAATCAAGTGGTATAGTAGGCCCGCAGTTGGTCATGTGAGATATGGCTAACTTAACACCAGGCCATGGAGCTGTCCCAGCTTTATTTTTCATTTGTTTTCTTTTCTCCTTCTGGTCAACTTCTCTTAAGAAAAATTCTCTGTGTCATCCTATTTTGCAACAATTTCTCCAAACATGTGTCTATGAACTTTGTTTAAAGTCAGTTTTTAAATTTTGTTATAAATATTTACATCTTTTCTAGCATCTAAACTATTTTTAAGATTTTTAAATTTTATGCATTATCATCATTATTTGTCAATTTGACCAGAGAGAATGAGAGAAGGAAAGTGAGAAAGCAAGCTGCCAGGTCTGGGACTTGAACCACAGTCGGCCATGTAGGAGTCCAGCACCTTAACCATCATGCCATCTGCTGGCCTTCTAGCATCTAAATTCTAAACTTGGGTGAGAGTCTCCTCTATCCTAAACTGGAAACTACAAAAAAAGTATATACAGTCATCCCTAGTATCAAGGGAATTTTTTCTAGGACACCTTGCAGATTCCAAAATCTGTGGATGTTCAGATCCTTTATATAACACAAAATATTTGCATATAAACTACGTACATCTTCCTGTATACTTTAAATCATCTCTGGATTACATATAATACCTAATACATTGTAACTGCCATGCAAGTAGTTGTTGTACAGTACTGGTTTTTCCTGTGTGTTATTTTTTATTGCTGCATTGTTTTTTCCTCAAAATATTTTTTAAAAGATTTATTTGATTTTATTCATCATTATATTATTTTAAAAATTTGACCAGAGAGAGAGGAAAAGTGAGAAAGCAAGCTCCAGGTCCAGGACTCAAATCATTCAACCATGTGGAAGTCCAGCACTTTAACCATCACACCACTAGCCAACCCCATTTTCCCTAAATATTTTCAATCTGTGGTTGGCTGAATCCATGGATACAGAACCCATGGATATAAAGGGCTGATATAAAGTATTTATATGTTTATGTATATATGTGTATTCTTATTAAATCTAACAACCCCAGGGCCAGTAGTTCACGTGGTTGTTGAGGCACTAGATCCTGCATGGCTGACTGCACAGATTGAATCCTGGATCCATCAGTTTAAAAATCATGCCGAACATATAGGTGCATGCCCAAAACTCCCAGAGGAGAATAGAGAAGGCACCGCCACGTGGCCTTTTCCTCTCTCTCTCTCTTTCTAGCAAGTGTATGTGACCTATAGCAAAAAATAAAGAGGAGGGGAAAAAAAAAGAAGTACCATTCTCATTATTTACAAATGAGAAAATTGGGCGAGGAAAAAAAAGAGAAAGTTGAGATTTAGATAAATCCAACTTACTACTCTCCCCACAAACAATACCCCTAGAAGAGACACACCTATCAAATCCAACTTCATATTTTTGGTTATGAATCCTATGCTCTTTTCACTGTTCCACCCCTCTCCACTCCTGTTTTAATTTGGTTAAGTGTCACAAAGAAGAAATAACACCCAGGAAGACATTTTGGATACTAATTAGAAGGTTCTAAATAATAAAACCAATAAAGGCATTTAATAACCAATTTATACAAGTTTCTCCTACTTGAAGACCTCTAAATTAAGTAAAATCATTTTTAGTTTCTGAGTTACACATGAATTCAATATAATGCTTATTTGTACAATGGAAACAAAATGTGACTCTGTAAAATTTTATTTGAATTTACCTCTTTTTTTAAATTGAGACATTTTTGTTATAGGGTGCATATGCTCACCAGAGAGCCAGAGAGATAGACAAAAAGAGAGAAATTATCCCCCCAGGGGGGATGGCCATACCACAACCCCTCCTCCTCCACCCTCATCTCGGGATTTTGGGCATTCATGCACACATGCCCAGCATGTGTTTCAAGATGCTGGGTCCAGGACTCGAACTGCAGTAGATCATACGGGAGTCCTGTACCTTAACCACCACACTACTTGCTATCCCTGGAATATACTGTTACAAAAGTATGAAATATTTCCAAATGCCTTCTACAAATTGGGGGAAAGAATGGGAAATAGGATGTTTGAAAGAATGGGAAATAGGATGTTTGAAGTTAAAGTACTTAATCCCTTTTATTCTATTTGTGTTTACATTAAAATAAACTATACCACACAAATGTATGTATCTAAAAAGTAGAATGAAGGCTAGCAAGCGGCATGGTGGTTAAGGTGTTGGACTCTCACATAGTCAACTACAGTTCTAGTCCTGGACCAAGCAGCTTAAAATCAGGCGGGGGGGAGGGGCGGGGAGCAGCAGATGACATAGCGGTTATGTCGCTGGACTCTCACATGGCCATTACCTAAGTCAAACTCTTTTCTCATCTCAAAGCTAAATTACTGCAAAAGCCACTTAAAATGGTCTCCTCATCCACATCTTTGAATCTACTCTCAACACTACTATCATTCTAATATACTCAGTCTCTTTGATATCCCTGAAATATATTATAGTTAGGGATTGAGTTCTATTATTAAAAGTTCTAACTCTAAGGTATAAAGCACTTATTAAATCATGTCATTGTTCTATAATAGTTCTTTCTTGCCAATATCAAGTTTAAAATTAAGTATTTTCGAATGACCCAATATATGCACTGATTCAACAAATATTTAATCAATTCAGTTTCTAATACATTGCTGTTTTTTAAAAAGAATTATTTTATTTATTCATTCATTTTTTAAAATTTGAACAGAGAGATACACAGAGAGAGAGAGATACAGAGAGAGACAGAGAGAGACAGAGGGAAAGTGAAAAAGCAAGCCACCAGGTCCAGGACTCAAACAGTGGTTGACTATGTGGGAGTGTCCAGTGCCTTAACCACCATGCCACCTGCTAGACCCCCTTTTGCTGTTTTTAATCGCAAAACGATTTAGACACTTAATTTCATATAAAATAATTATCTGTAAAAATGAAATAGTAAAAACCTACATGTCAAAATGTTAACAGGCAGACCAGCAGGTGGCATGGTAGTTGAGGTGCCAGAGTCCCATATGACCAACCACAGTTTGAGTCCCCAACCTGGCAGCTTCCTTTCTCAGTTTCACATTTTTTTTTCCTCTCTCTCTCTCTCTCTCTCTGGTGAGCACATGTGCCCTACAGCAAATTAAATAATAATAAATAAAATTAAATAATTCTTTAAAAATTTTAACAGGAGTTATCTAAGTGAGATTAAAGGTGATTTCTAATCTTCTTTTAAATATTGTTTTTCCACAATAAACATATACTACATTTGCAATATAAATAAGTCATAAAAGATATCCACTATCCCAAATATGGTAAAAATCTATTAGCATTCATGGATTTGCACAGTCGTGAATCAACTCACATCCTTCTAAATACTAGTTCTCCCACTTAATACTAGAGATCAAGAAGTAGCTGTTGCTTATTACACTGCTCCAACATTTCCATAGGCAGTTAGTTAAAGGTTAAAGATAGTGAACTTAAGAATAGACTTCTCGGGACCAGCAATTGGCAAAATGGCTATGTCGCTGCATTCCCATGTGGTCTACCGCGGTTTGAGTCCTGGACCCAGTGGCTTAAACTCATGCCAGACACCATTCTCAAGATCCCAAGAGGAGAATGGAGGAGAAGGGAGTGATTTCTTGCTTTCTGTCTGTGTCTGTCTTTCTGGTGAGCACACATGCCCTATAGCAAAAAACAAACAAACAAACAAACCAAAAAAACAAACCCTCTCCAAAAAAAAAGAATAGAGTTCTCAGGACCTGTAGATGGCATAATGGCTACGTTGCTGGATTCCCATGTAGTCAACCGTGGTTTGAGTCCCTGACCAGGCAGCTTAAAATTCATGCTAGCTGAGTGTGCATGCATGTCCAAAATCCCAAGAGGAAAATGGAGAAGGGATTGCAGCATGGCCATCCCCCTAGGGGGTGAATTCTCACTTTCTGTACCTCTGTCTCTCTGGTGAGGGCTTGTGCCCTACAGCAAAAAATCTGTCTTGAAAAAAAAAAAAAAAAAAAAAGAAGAATAGAGTTCTGGGGACCAGCAGATAGTGTAGCAGTTATATAGCTGGACTCCCACATTCTGAGTCCTGGACCCAGTGGCTTGAAACTCATATCCAGTACATCTGCTTGCCCAAGATCCACAAAGGAGAATGTAAGGAAGGGATTGTGATGTGGTCATCTTCCACAGGAGGTGATTTTTTACTTTCATTCTCTGTGTCTTTCTCCCTCCAGTGAGTACACGCACACTAAGGCAAAAACCTCTTTATAAAAAGAATAGAGTTCTAGTTCTCATAACATCCAACTCAAGAGTATCTTGAACAAGATGATTTAATTTCATTGAGCAACTTCACAAACAGAAGGGTTTCAGTGATCATCTTTAGGACTGCTGGCTATTAGCTAATAAGCTTACCTGTCCACAATAACTTAATACACTAAATAATTTTATTTTCAATAGAAAATCACTACTGATTCTTATGTGCATCACCAGTGACTGAAAGCTGGAGAAGCTGGAAAAACATACACTTAACTCCATGATATCTAGAAAAATACTCCTTAACTTAGGACATGTTCTTACCTTAGCAAAAAGGTGATCTCTATACTGCTGTTGAGTAATAAATTTTTTAGAACATACTACACAAGCAAAGCAACTGATGAAAGGTCCATGGAGTGTAATTGTTGGATCACATGGAGAGTGATCAAACCTATTCGGCGAAAGAAAGGTAACATTAGAAAAATCCACAGTCTAGGGAAAAACTATGCTTTTCATTTGTGATGCTAATCACATACACACGTGCATTCAGAATATTATACTTCTCTAATAAAATATTAAATAATAATCTTACTATGTAAGAAATATCAAGTGGTTCCCATGTACCAGACAATCCCCAAGGACCAACAACTCAAGATCTCATAAAAGAAGTTAAGATTGGGGCTGGCAGATGGCATGGAGGTTAAGGGCACTGGACTTCCACATGGCCGACCATGGTTCAAGTCCTGGACCTGGTGGTTTACTTTCTCACTTCCCTTCTCTCTCTCTTTCTGTTCCTCTCTGGTTAAACTAAAATTAAGTAAGTAAGTAAATAAAAAAGTAAAAGTAAATAAAATAATTCTTAAAAGGAAAAAAAAAAGTACTTAAGATCCAAAGCAACATATTTAAGCATTTCTTCCCAAACTTGCAAGCTTCCAGCTTGAAAATTTTAAGACCATAATCATTTCCTTCTTGCCCTGATTACTGTAAGACTCACAAATAAATTTAAATGAACCACTGCAATAATAATCTTTTTTTTTTATATTTGCTAATTTTACTTTCTTTTTTGGATTGTTTGCATGTCTATCTTAACATGTTTAAGAGTTCTTCTCCCTCTTTTTTTTTTTAATTTAAATTTATTTGTTTACGTTCATTCACTGTACATCATTACAGCATACAAAATGAGATTTTCCATCCAGAGTACACTGTATATTGTCTCAATCAAGCACATCAACATACATGTTATTGTCAACAAATAATTTTCCATTTCTTGTTTCCTGTATGTTTTGCTTCCCTCCCCCATCCTTGATTCCCTATCTCTTACCCTCAGCCATCTCCCACTCTCTTCCCACACTGTCTCTGGTATCTAAGTTTACTTTCTATACTGTTTTCCCCCCATTTTTTATTGAATTATTAAAGATCTTAATTAATCAAAATGTTTTCATAGCAAACACAGCTGATATATACATTTCCATGAACACAAGTCTAACTTTAGGCATCCTATAAAGTATCACCTAGCTGGGGCTATATATCTTTAATTTTTTTTTTTTTCTGAAACTTTTCT